AGACAGCTTCACAGTACAGTACAGCTGATGGGAAAGAGAAAGGGAACAGGCTCAGGTTAAACAATATTCATATCTTTTTATTTTGCTAGCAGCAATTCTCTGTATCTCTGGAATCACTTTCACCTCCAGTTTTGTGGCTTCCCTGCTATGAAGTCAGAGTTGACACAGACTTCTCTTGCTGCGTCCTGTCCCCTGCATACTGATCCCATGGGCTGGGCAAGGGGGGGCCTGAGCATGGCACAGGAACAGGGGACAGGACATGGCATCCAAACCAAAATGAATGCAAAAGGGGAGGTAAATGGAGCTTTTTAGCTGATTTTCATTCCTGACTGATTACTTAACAGGCCAACTACTTAGCATGAGCATTGTCTGCTTTAAGTGTCAGCACATAAAAGTGCACCCATGACTATTAGCAAACAGGGCTGGAACATAAAAGCTGCTGTGCAGCCTGTGCTGCTCAGAATACTCATTTAGCATGAGACACTGGACATAATGACATCTGCATTTAAGTCCATTATACCAATGCATGTGATTTTTCTTTTCCTGGTTAGCAAATGGCCTCATATTTTTCAAATTATCCTCTGAGGTTCTGAATGACATGGTGAAGGATAATGAACCAGACTCAAGGATGGATGAGGCAGAAAAGGGGTGTTCTCCTTTATCCATTGCTTTGTAATAATGAAATAAGGGGCAGTCCACTGACAGAGCCACCAAGCTCTGCTGACAGAGCATCCCAACCAGATTGGAGTCAGCCAGCTGGGAAAGATGTGGATAGAAGTCTTTTGGACTAGCTGGTTCCCACTGGAGTCAAGCTTCACAAGAAGTAGGATGATATCACTGCCCCAGGACAGATATATACGTAAAGTAGGCAAAATATCCATTTGCTGTGGTCATGTTTTGAAATATCATTGTGTTGAAGATCACAGAGAAATATTTTTACTGTTTGGCAGGTTCTGCTTGGAAGTAAACACAGGGGCTTGTGCTCTCGAATGCTATGACAGTCTTATCTTCCCAGTCAGCAACTTGACTGCTCGGAGCCTGGGTGATAGATGGCCAGGTTCAGGCTGGTGGGATATGTCCGGGGCTGTGTGTTAGAGTCAATGCTAAATAGTTTTTGTTCGAGAGTTTCTTTTGAAATGCAGAAATTGGAAGTGCTGCTCCTTTCTGCTCTCACTGTCCACACAAGCACCCCACCAGCTCAGGTGCTTGACAGTCCTGAGCTCTCCAATCCCCACCTCAAGGATGAAGCACTAGTGTTCAAACACCTTCCTAACACTGCTAAATTTGCCCATCTGCACACACACTTATGAGACCAGCAGCAGCAGTCAGGGATTCTCCATCTCCTGAAGAACCAGTAATCAAACTGGTGAGCCCAGGACCCAGACAGGCATTTCTCTGAGCCACAAATCAGAGGTGGGTGGGCCTGTGTGTTATGCAAGGGAGAAGTTACAGTAATACCAGTTTCCCATCACCCAAGGATCAAGAGTTTCCACAGACACCACTGTGAGTTTGTGCTTGGCTGGCTACGATGGGAATTGCCATTCATCGTGGCATGAGGGAGCTTAAGCTGTCTCAGAGCACACTGTCAGTTAACCAACGCTTAATAGAGAGCAATCTGATCAGTACAAGACACATCCTCGTAGCTAAAAAGCCTTAAATGTTTCAGATGCAGCAGCTTCTGAAGTCTTCCAACACTTTCTGCAGTACTCATTATTATTTCCCTGCTGTTGAGAGGGAGCAGCCAATGTAGGCACTTTGTGTTCATTATCCAGAGTAATATTCACTGGTCTATTTAATTAATGCTTAGAAAATGTACTTGATGAATTATAAGTTACTGGGGCAGGGGAGGGAGGGGGAATGCAGAAATAGATTAACGTTGGTTGATCTTTTAAACTTTCTCCAAAATTATTTCTTTGGTTTTTACACTCAGCAAGTCTCATGGGGTGTCCCCCCTTCCTACACACAGCTAATTTCTCACAGGCACAGTTGCTGACTATCAAGGAACCTCTTGTAGGAGCTGCTGAAGGAAAAGCTGTTTGCTGGGTGTACTGCAAGAGATGTAGGTAGTGGAGCAGAGGTGTTGGGCACATTATACTGCCTCCTTCTCTATCCAGCCCATCCATTATATCCTGGATACATCAGCTTCACACCACATGGAGGAATGATTCTCTCAGGGGAGTCCTCAACAGAAATCTGAGAGTGCCCCTCGAAACTGATGATCTTGAAACATGCACAAGAAAGGGCTCATAAGCTTAAAAGGCAAAACAGACAGAAGGGGGCAGAGAAGGGAGCGGTATTTTCTAAACACAGCACACAACAGCCCAAGCAGCTAAATGATTTTCATAAGGTCACGAAGGAAACCTGTGTCTGAGTTGGGAATTTAACCCAGATTTTTGTGCTTGGTTCATTGCCTTAGCAGCTGGATGCTTCTGCCTGCCTCCTTTGTCACTGGCACTGGTCATTGTAAAGCGTGATTTCCCTCACCATATTTGGAAAGGGTGGTAAGAGGAGGAGATCTGACAGAGATTCACCATCAATGAGGGGAAAGAAAGAGTCTTTCCCTCCCCTTTCTGTCGTTACAGCATCAACTGTGAATTCAGGGGAGTCTACTCCAGTTCGGGTTTTCTGAGCATGCCACACAGAAAATCCCATAAGGGTTCCCTTTGCAAATCTGTTTTCTTTTAAGTAGCACCACTTTCCTGGTGCACATGTTTTGCATTTGCCTGGGTGCATGTGTGAGAGCCAGTAGCTCCCCAGCTCGCTCTCCACCCTGGAGATCGCTTGTGAATTGGGTTTTCTTTGTGAGAGTGAAGTATCATGTGCAGGCTCTGTGCTCCGAGAGGCTCAGTTTTGTACAGAAAATGATCTGTGTAGGTGTCCATGTGGAAAGCCTTGGGAATGCTCCTTGCAGCCTTAAGAAATGCAATATTGCCCTCTAGTGATGGTGAGGATGGTCTCGTCTGAGCTGGTGAAATAAAAAGCGTTTTGGCTAACCTTCAATGAGATTCAAAATGGAATAAATGTTCCTGTTTTCTTCTGACCTTGGAATTAAAGATCCTACCGTCATAACTCAGAGAGCACTGGTAGTGGTGATAAGCAGGGAAGGTTGTTCAAGAATCACAAAATGTGTAAAATTAGCATTATTCTCCATGAATTCAGCAGATGGAAAGCCAGCTGCACTCACAGAGCAGATCAAGTAAGAAGGTTCCTTCTTTAATGCAAAATTTTTTGCATTTCTAAAGCCAAGTATATTTTTATTTGGAAAAAAAAAAAGGAGAGAGAGAGGCAGTTTCAAGTACAGGAGATGAAACACTGTGGAAACCAGAAAAAAATCAGAAAAAGTCTAATCTTTGTGTTTCATCATCACTGTATTCAGATGTTGTGAGTTTTGGGGGTTGGAGGTTTGGGGGGCTTTTTTTTTTGGTTGGTTAGTTGTGGGTTTTGTTTGTTTTTTTGATTCAAGTTTTATTTTTATTTCTTGTTTGAACCCTTCTGGAGGGGGAGAAGGAGGGATAATAGAGGAGCCCTTCAGCAGATGAACAAAATGTTTCTCTCACTCTAGTAAGCAAGGAGCTGGTTCTCTCAGGAAATAGAGTGTTTTGAATACCCTTCAGAAGACACTCAGGAGCATTACAAAGCCTTGACCTTTGCCCCTAAGAAGGTTGTGTTTAAGGTCCTTGCTTCTGCAAATAGCTCAATGTGGACAATCCCTCCAGTGCTTGTGTGAAGCCCCAGGAGCATCCACAGGTCTCTCGGCTCCTCTCCCAGACAGCGGGGTCAGGGAGTGAGGTTTCTCTGTAACTGGACCCCACATGTCAGCCCAGATTCCTCAGGAATTTGGTTATTTTAAAGTCCCTGATGCAGACATCATTTCCCTGGCACCTTCCTCATTCTAATTGCCTCTGACAAGGCACGATAGTACTGGAATTTATGTATGGAACATCGCTGTCACTGCACTGCAACTTAAAGATCACTGCAAAGCAGCATGGGCAGACAGAGCTATTTATTTTTCCTTACTTAAAACACTAAGTCAATGCAAAATTCACTTCAATCATTCACTGAACCTATCCAGCTTTCTCTGTTACTACAGGAACACACTGCATACCTGTACATAACTATCAGTCATCACACTGACAGTATCCTGAGCTTTTTTCCCCCTAGAAGTTCACAAGGCAGAATTGGAGCCAATTCAAGTCAGTGACAAAACTCTCATGCACAGAGTTCACTGCCAAAGGATGAGACCTTCCAAGCAGGCAGGACATGGAGTACTGAATAAATGCATACATATCATGGGCTTTCAACATAATTGTAAATATTTTGGGCGATCAGCCAACACAAGAGAGTGGATTTTTCTGACTCGGAGGGTTTGGGCTTTCTTCTGAGGTCTGAGTAGTCATCTCAGCTCCAAAAAAAATAGATTATTATGATTCCCTTTCATCCCCAGCATCACTACTCATAGTACTGGTGAATTGTGAAAAGTTAGTAACTACTGCTAGTTGCTCACTCGGTGACCATAGCTACATAATGTAAAGAAACCTTTATAAAATTTGCCTTATGCGGAGCTGAAGGCGACAGGAGGGGAACCCAGAAGTGCATTTCTGTCAGTGAATATTTTTACAAGAAGCAGGTTAATAGCACAGAAATGGTTACGATAGGTGGAGTGAAGAAGAAATGCCAAAACGTGATGGTGAACAAAAGGGAAGCTTACAGGTAAACAGAATAAAGGATTATTTTGAGCCTAAAAACAAAACAAAGGGTTATTTAGGAACTAAATCATCCACTTGATGATCCAGTTCCTTTGGTATGGCTGGGGTGGTGGTGACTGATCATGCCCTGGAGCCTGCACAAGCCTCCTTCACTACCCCAAAGCAAAGAAAAAAGGTTCATTTTTAGTACACTCATCATGACTGTGTTGACCATATTTTTCAATATAATAAGTGCATTTCCATGTTTTGTCTTAGTTTTCCCTCATTCCTAACCCCTCCTGCTTTCCCTTTCAGGTTCTACATTGAAAGCATCTCCTATCTGAAGGACAATGCCACCATCGAGCTGTTTTTCTTGAACGCCAAGTCCTGCATCTACAAGGTAAGGACTCAGGGAGCTCTGTGTGGCATCGGCCACATTTTCTGTCTGCATTTTCTGTCTTGAAATTCACACCTGGACTTTCAGATACAACCTCCTCCTCCTCCTCTTCCTCCTCACAGCCTCCCTCACTCCTCTGCCTCCAGCCGCCCCAGCACTTGGCAGCAGCTTCCCTGTCAGAGGGAGGTTCAAAGGAAAAACTCCCCTGAAAGCACCTCTTGTGGCAGGCAGGAGTGAATTTACACTGCTGAAATTATAAACTGGCTTGTATTTAGAAAGAAAGGTCTGGCTTTGTGTTAAAAACCCGCTCTGGGGTGAGTGGATGTTGTGAGGGTTTCCCGCCCGGAGGGGGCGGCAGTGCGGCGTGGGCGCCATATTCTGGGCTGGGCGATGGGGGCGGGAGGGTGTGTGTGAGGGGGAAGAGCTTGTGAAAGGGAAGGATGGAATATCCTGACTTGGAAGGAGCCCATTAGGATCGTCGAGTCCAACTCCTGGCTCTGTCCATGCCAACCCTGAAAATCGCACCATGTGCCTGAGAACGTTGTCCAAATGCGTCTTGAAATCTGCCAGGCTTGACGCCATGACCACTTCCTTGCAGAGCCTGTTCCAGTGCCCAAGCACCCTCTGGGTGAAGAACCTCTTCCTAATATCCCACTAAACCTCCCCAGACACAGCTTCATGCCATTCCCTTGGGTCCTGACTCTGGTCACCAGAGTAAAGAGATCTGTGACTGCCCCTCCACTGTCTCTCGTGAGGAAGCTGCAGACCACCATGAGGTCTCCCCTCAGTCTTCTCCAGGCTGAACAAGCCAAGTGACCTGAAGTTTGTGGGGCAGCAGGAGTCTGTGGGTGTATGTGTGAGTGGACTAAGGGTACCTGTGGGTATGCACTGAAGATCACCTTTTACAGGAACAAGCCATGCACTGAGAAATATTTTTTTCTACCAGGAATAGCCCTCCCTGGTAGGCCACTGAAACACCAGCCTGCTGTCCCTGGCACTGTAGCTCAGAGCAGCCCCTGGCAAGGTACTCTGTGCGCCAGAGATAAGGGCATCCTGGCACAGCCTCCACTCAGAGTAGTGCCCTCAGCAGAGCAGTGAAGCTGATCCCCCAGATACCACAAGCCAAACATACACATGAAAGGACTGGGTGCAGAGAATTAACCAGCCCCAGACCATGCTGAGGTGGAGATTGGCAGTGTGCAGACTTAGCCGGGTGGGCTGGACGTCTGGGACTGGGAGAGGTTTTTCAGCAGCTGGGATTCCCTGGGAGGATCCCTTCTACCTCCCTGTGTGCTGGCAGAGGCCATTCCCGATGACTCACCTCCATCTGCCAGGGAGGAAGCAGTAGGAAAAGACAACTGTAGTCAGGGAGCAATTTTACTCACATCCCACAACTCAGCACATTTGTGACCTGCTAAGCCAAATAGCTTACACTGAACCCAGAGCCTTGCTTGACATCTACATGTCCTAAAATGTAGGGGCTAACTTTGCATCTTCTAAAATGCAGAGTAGAAGCCAGCAAATGCCTTTTTTCCAGTGCTCAGGAACCAGGCAGGGTCGCTGAGCTGAGCTGTGCAGCACTTTGCTCTCCGGCAAGGCTGCAATTAGATGTGCTTAGTCAGCCCTCCTCAGCAACAAGCTCAGTGAGCATCACATTTTGGTTCCTGGGGAAAGTTCCTTTTTGAAGTCTTGCCAGGAAAAGCTTACACCGTTGTTCTTTTTTTGGAGAAAGCTTAATAATAAGAGAAGAGGAAAAGAAATAAAGAAAAAAAGTGCCTACAGACCTAGGTTGGTCTATTTCAGTCTGACCTTTCCTGAAACCATTACTTTGCACATTCAAGCTGATTGTCATCTCTACCCAAAAATAGCCCTGCTGAATTCCCAGTCTCCCATGAGGATCCTTCCCAATTTGATTTCCAGCCACAGTAAGCCATGCTGTGCTATTAAAAAAGGCGCTGAATTTGAAAGTTGGGTGCGAAGTGTCTGCTAAGACTCAGGGCAAGCACCCACCCAGCACGCCTGCAGGACTCCTGTAGCTGTAAAAAGGGGAATTCAGTGTTTAAGCACAGCCAGAGCTTCTTGTTCCTGCAGCTAGCAGGTGGTGTTGCATGCTCCCAAACCTTGAAAGCTTCCTTGTTGCACCAAAAGTTTCCTTGTTGGACTTCCCATGAATACCTCCACCTCTGGTTCTGCTGCAGCCCAGAAAGACCATACTGTGTATGAAATAAGTGTAGTTCCTAATGCTGTGCTAGAACCTCAGACCTTCCCCTGTTAATTCTCCAGACAGACGTCCTCAAACATCCCCATACACAGAGATGCTCAAGCTGGGAAAGAATAAAACTGAGGCCTGTTTAGTTTGGGGCTGCTGGTCACTGGGTTGCCAGCTGGCTCTGTGCTAGGGCTGTACTCCTCTGGTTGTGCCCACCACTCCCCCTCAATCGCCCTGTTGTGTAATGAGACATTCATGAACTCACACACCCAAACCCTCACACAGGACCAGCAAGATACTGTTGCCCAGAAAGGCCAAGCCACGCTTGTACTACCAAATAAGACAGGGCTTGGCATCAGACGCTGTCCCTTGATCAGTCAGGCTGTTTAATTACTAGCACGTTCTGGCGTGGGTTTTGGCGTGTGCCAGCAAGCTCCGTCCCAGGCGTTGCTTCGGCACTGTTCAAGGTTGTGCACCTGTTCCCAATAGGCTACACAGTGGTGGAAACCCCATCTGGGACTGGGGGAGGGAGGAATAGTGTTTAGTCCTCTTGCACCCACCGCTTCCCTTGGCACAAGGTTCATCCTTGGTGCAGGTGCCTGTGTGAGTCAGGCAGTTCAGCTGAAAGGGGAAAGGTGTGTTTATCGCCCGCAGCAGAGCTGCTCTTCGCTCCCCAAGGAGTTGTTATGAAAGAGGTGAAGAAATCACTTATTTTAAAAAGCTGGCGCTGGTGAAAGCCAAGGACACCTGGATCTTACCCTGTGTTTTGTTCCCTTTACTTTTGATTTTGCCAGAGACAAGCCAATGCAGCAATTGTGGCTTGTAAATGAGGTGTGGCCGTGACTTGGCTGAAGCGTGGATCACAGCAGTGATCTATATTTAGATCACTCATTTCTTGCCAGATGAAGTAAAACGTCAAAAACAGCAGCTTAAATAAATACAACAGAAAAATCACCAGAAGAGTGAGCTGAGCAGTGATCCAGTTTACCAGTCCATGTACATAGGAGACAATGTAGGAGTTCTAGTTGCAGAATAGAGATCTAAACAGTATCTCAGTAAAAGCCCATTAGCTTCCCAAAGGCAGGGACCGAAGACTCAGGAAGAGCGCACTTGGCCACAAGACTAGTGCTCATACTATCCATCCCCAAGCATCCTTGATACCGGGTCTGCATCCCAAGCATTCAGACAAAGCAGTGCCCGGACCCCTTGGTTCTGTGACTGCCATCTCAGGCACAAAGAAGCATCCTGAGAGAACCTAATTGGACCATCAGTGTCCTTCACGTGACCAGGGTGTCCCTGCAAACCCTTCAGGATTGCTTTCATCACAGGCTGGATCCTATAGAATGGAGTAGAGAAGATCTACCAAAAGATTTGCTGTCACAGCTCATTCTCAAACCACCCCCAGCCCCAGTGCTTGTGGGGATGAAAGGGCCAAAACCAGAGCTCCCATCCTGCACATGGGAATATGGCTCTTTTTGCTTTGAGTTTACCCTGGGCAAGGATCAGAGTTCTGGGGGGACTTTGACACAACTTCAATGAAGACAAATTCTAATTTCCTTGCTTTTGTGAGCCAAGGACAAAGCTGCATTCCCTTTGCATGGGTGCATGGGTGACAGTTGGGGGCAAAAAAATGTATTCCCTAGGCTACTTGTCACTGAATCACACAAGAAAATAAAATTTACCCTGATCCTCAGCCTTCCACCTGCTTTCTCCTTGCTCTTTCTTCATGCCACATTCAGTTATGCTTAATTTACCAAGCCATTACGCCAAATATTTGGCTTTCTCCACATCTGAGTAGAGTGGGCAGGTTCTCCCTCCCTTTAGTTTCCAAGAGCACAGAGAATGCTTTGAAGCCAGGGGAGAAGACTGGCACCACATGCTTTGCTGTGCAGTAGGCAGGAAGAGATGTATGTCCTTCTTACAGGAGCTCAAACTCAACTCTCTTTTTCTTTCTTGTTTTCTTCACCTTTCAAGGAACTCATTGAGGTTGACAGTGAGGTGGTGTTTGAACTGGCTGCGTACATCTTGCAGGTAAGCACCCACCTTCTCTCACTTCGTGCTTTGTTATGTTGCATTAAATCTTTTGATTTGCCAGATCCACAACAGCTATATGGCAGTGTAGGGGTTCCCTCAATTGCAGGAGAAAGATGTCTTTACACAGTTTTCATGGTTTCTACCAAAATGAGTACAGAAGGCCCTCAAACCAGACCTCTCCATGCAGGCAGCAGATACTACTGCTCAGCATTTTGCATACAGAAATGTGTATTATATTTGCACCAACACAGATATCCAAGACCCTGGAGTATAATGTACAGCCAGAGAAAATCTAAATGATGAATGCAAATTCCTAGGTGAAATCCATATGCAATGAGTTCTTCTCCAGTGACCCTCCTTGCATTTGTTTTCCCAATGGGGTTTGGTCCTCTGATGAGCTCCATAAGTTTCTACATATGCAACCGTCTGTATTCTTCAACGTGGGCAGAATGGCTTAAAGACTTTCCAAAATATTGTCTTTTGAAGTTCCGCTCTTCAAGAAGAGGGAAAAGGGTCAGAGGGCAAATGACCAGCAGTGTTTGGTAAATATCTAATTCCCAGAAAAGAATCTTCTCAGGGTAACGAAGGTGGGTTATGTGAAAGTTCTCTTTTTAGGAGCTTGACTGTGGGAGCAGATCAGACATAATTGTCAGATGATCCTTGTTCCCCTCTCTTACGGTCTGATTTTTTCCCATGAGCCCTGAAGCTGTGAGAAGCCATGTGAGCAGAAAAGCCAGCTCATCAGAGTGCACTAATAAATAACAATGCACTGCACTTCTAGAGCACTTGCCATGTTAAAGAAGCAATTAATGCGTAGGGATTTGAACCTTCATTAAAATCATTTTATGTAACAAAAATGGAGTGAGAGAGCCAGGATGGGGGACTCAATTAACAGTACATTATAGAAACTGCATATTGGCTGTTGGGGGAATACACATCAAACAACAGGCCCATTGTGAGGAGCAGCAATGGGGTTATGAATCTATTGTCTGCTCATCCTAATGAATAACTTACATGCTTATAATTGTACAGCCAGATCCAGAGCTCCTGCCATAACCCTTGTTGCTGGGATTGTTTCTTGCCACAAACACAGGATGTTACGTGTATTCCTGTAGTAGTTTGATGTGTAACTTAATGAAAACACTCAAAACAAGCCACACCTCTCCTCTCTGTAACCAGAAATTACTACAACCCGTGTTTGTGACAGGATCCAAGTAAAACAAATGGGATCATACTGCATTTTGTTCTACTTCTCGCTGCAGCATTTAGGTCAAAGCACTGAAGTATGAAGAATATACCCTACAAAATTGTTTTTTTAATTTAGTATGCTCATCCCTGTGCAGGCCAGGGCATATCCTTTAGGCCTTTCTATGTGTTGAACTATCATCATGGCATGCTTGAGGAGTCCTTCCTATGAACCAGAGAAGTGCTTGTCTGTCCTTCAGTTCACTCAAAGGGAAATGGGAAGATAGTAAAGGTCTGTCAGAACTCAAATGATTTAGTCTGCAGCCTTATTCCAAATTGTTTTATTACCAGAACAAATTGAAGTACCACCAAAGCTCTGAACTTTACCCCAGCCTCAGGACTGAAACACCACTGGACGTGGGCTGACATGTTTTGTGGGTAGATGGATGGATGTAAAGACAAAAGACCTGAATGCAAAACCCAGTCCTCTTGGCAGTGGAAATTCCCTCATTTTCCAAATTACCTTCTTGCACTGTGCTTTCTGTGTAGCTAATGGCAAATGAGGTGCTTTAGCATGAATCATGTGAAAGGTATATTGTCTATGGAAAATACAAAATGCCTGTTAAATCTATTGAGGAGGGCACTCACCAGATTCTGTGGGTTTGCCAGGTATGCGGTAAGACTCAGGTACTAATATAACTACTGAAGTGGAACATTATCCAGCCCTTTAACATCAGGCTGTGATGGTAATAAATAGAAATATCTAGATATACAAGCAAGGGAGCTAAATACTCCTCCAAACAGCCAGCAAGGAGTTAGAGAAACTTGTAGCTTGCATCCCCTTGAAAGCTGACAGTCAGCAAGTTTTTTTAAAGTCTAGGTACTAAAAAATGGCCAGAATACTTGTAAAAAAGTGAGAGGAGTTGCAGTCTCAGAGGCTGCAAGGCCACTGCGACTTCAGAGATCTCCTAGTAATGTAGCATCCGCATCAGCCCAAAAAAATTTAATTACTAGCATTACTTCCTGCAACTTCTTGGGTATCCACTAGCAGAATGGGGAATCATCTGGCCCTGTATTAGGCAAACCTTTTGTTTGTTAATCTGCCCAGCTCACTGCATGTATCATGGCACTTGACATTAGATACTGATTCCAAAAAATACATGGGGAATCAATTACAACAGGAAATTGCTGCTAAATTAATTTTGCAAATGGAAAATCTTGAACAGCCGTTTTCTTCTCTTTTTTTTTTTACATTTTTAATTATAGATTTTTTATTTTTCTTCCTTGTTTTACAGGAGGCAAAGGGAGATTTTTCAAGGTAGGTGAACTTAAAAGTTTTTACCACTGTGTGCTTTGAGAATGAATCTGGTAAAATCACTGTGTGAGCCATGAGACTCAGCTGTTGCTGTGTAGTGATTGCCTGTGTGAGCAATGCAGCTCTGTGTGTATGGCTAACATAGACAGTGGGTTTCCTGATATAATTTCTCCACCAAACACAGCCTTGGACCAGAGCATGTCTTGCAAACAGCATTGTTTGTGATTTTGTTGTTGACAAATCTCATTATGTGCTCATGAAGTTCAGGAAACAGACTAGTCTTCAAAAGGAAATTGCTAAGGAAATGACTCTACGATCACTGTTATATCACAGATCCAGCCAGAAGCAACATTAAAATTCCATGACTAATTGATATTTCAGCTCAAATTTGGACACAGTTCTCAAAATCACAATTTAGATAATTGGGTTTGTTGAACTTCCGCTGTCCCTTGAGCCAAATGTTCAGACTTACAGTAAGAAATTCGAAGAGGTGACTGTACTTGGTGTTTTAGAAGACTGTTAATGAAATGCTCATGAATTATCATTTAAGTTGACAGTATCTGTCATTTACACATAAGTAGCAACCAAAGGTCAGGTAGTTGTTTGATGTCTCACGTAAGAAACATGAAAGTTCTTTGTGTGAAGCTCAGGAGAACTGACTATGCTAAGTATTTCACATACTCCATATATTATTTTTGCTGACCTGGACATGAGTTCAGCTGGAGGACCACAATATCCTCAAAAGTTAGTTTCAGAATGGGCAGTGGGTTGAATTGCCAGATGAGCCCAAAGAGATGTCTTAATTTTGCCAGCATTGAGATACACTGAGAGAAGACTGTAATGATAAGAGGCTGTGAATAACAGGCAGGATCCACCATCTGGTGGTCTGGGACTTCTAGACAGCTAAAATTGAATGAAATCAGTGAAAAGGAACAATGCGTTGCAGATATCACCTGTCTGTTGTGCAGTCTGAGCTGACAGAAAGTAACCCTTGCTAAAAGGAAGTTTAAGTTCTGCCACAATATTTCTCAAAACCTTAACATGCAAAATCCTGACATTCATCTGACCACAGAACACACAAGGCCAATCTTGCTTTGTTTTTCGGTTCTGCTGAATAACTCAGCTATCAGAAGTGTTTATTTAGAGGGTACTGGAGTGCATGTGGCTCTTTGACTTTTCAGTCTGGTTTTCAATGCACTGCCAAGTGCTCAGTCCAGAAGAGTTGGGCCAAGAAGAGTTTTGCCATCCAGACCTGTGATGAAACACATCTTCCACTGGTTTTGCTATGAAGAACAATATTTAATGTTTCTCAGAATACCTTGGACGTGATAAAAACACACTCAGAAAGTGTACATTCAGGCTACGAGACACAGAATAGAGAGTAATAGGACTGAAAGTATTTTATCTTTGAGTATCCATTTCCAGACCAGAAGTGGAAACAGCCAGTGGAAAGCACCCATCTGCTAAAAGTTGTGTGTTGTCCCTTGTAAAAAAAGGAACGGTTGAGTTTATCATAGGCCACAAAGAAATGAGGAATCTTCTCTGGGGGCAGAGAAGATTCCTCAACCCATGGTGTTAAGTCCTGCCTCCACATCAGTCATCACCATCACCAGCCCTATTGAAACAGCTCTGAATTCTTTCCACCTGTGGGTCACAGTGGTTTGAAGTGTAAGGGGAAATCCTTACATCCAAGTCATGCAGAGAAGGGGTGTCATAACAACTTGTTGATACTGCCAGGGATCTGAATTTCAAAATGGGCTTTGATGACAAAGAAATCTGCCATACTAGGGGAGTTTAAAGCCTATTCTTGGATAAAGGTAGAAGAATGCTGCTCTGACCCTCGATGGTGTGGAAGATTTGGCATCTCCGGTGATGTCCGTCCAGCAGCTCCTCTCTAATGTGCGCTGACATGGGTTTATGTGCTGGGTGAGATCCCAGTGCTACTGAAGTCAGCATGAGGTCATGGTGGTCAAGATTTTGCCTGCTGAGATTTGTGGTCATCATATCAGCAGCGTAAAATCTGGGAAATCAAGCCTGGGGTCAGCCAGAGGAACTGCAGTTGAAGGCAAATGTTCTGACTTCTCTTAGGGATGAAGTTAGCTTCAGTGTTTGCAGTTAGTTGATGTTGAAATACTGTTTAAAGCAGAAGTGGCTACTCTTGGAAACAGAGAAGCTTTGCAGTTTTGAATGTCTTGCTGCTGAGATTTAAGTGTTGTGCATAGCAGCATATGTTGTGTGAAGGTTGAACTCTTGAACTCCTGCTTTGTTTTTTAAGAAATAATTTAATTCTAAAGGGTTGCATGCTTGGAACACAGACTGCAGCATTCCCACACCTGTCCTGTCTACTGCCACCGTCAGATTTATAGCCTGTGATCTGGCCCTGATCCAGAAAAAGTACATAAACACTGGCTCATTTGTAGTGATAGGAGAATTGCTGTTCCCCATGGGAGCCTTCCTGTCACTCACTGAGGATCACCTCAGATGCTGGGACAGTCAAAGCCAAACTGTCACAATTCCAGCTGCAGGTTGGCACCTGCCTGTGGTGGCCAGTGTGATTACCTCCAAATCCCACTGCAGCCAGTTTGGAGGATCTGGAGCTGGTTCAGGACTCCTGAATGCAGTTACAAGTCTGCTATTTGGGCCTCTTAACAGTCAGCTTTCTATCTGTGAACTGATACAACGACAGCAGCTCCCCTGCTGTTTTTGAGGAAATCATCCCATACCTCAGAATAATCACTGTGCCCATAGTGCTCCTCTTCACTTTCCTGAAAAGGGGCTCTTTTGCCATATCAAACACATTCTACATCCGTTGGTAGGGCATCATCATGCATGAGACTGTTATCACTGATTCTTACCACCTTGGGCATCACAACGACTCCCATTGTTCAGTAAGCCTGGAGAACACACAGTCCAAGTCACCCTCATCTGTTTTGAGCTAAGATGCCACAGTAGCCCTGACAGATCAGTTTAGCATCTGTAGTGGGCAATTCTTCTAAGCCCTTTTCCATTTCTAATGTGTGTTTCATTTCAAAAACAAGCTCATCAGAAATGCTTGAGCTCCTGAACCTGTTTAGATCAACTAAGACAAGTATTTCTGAGAGTTTGCTCGGAGTGGCCTCATCCATCTCTTAGTTGATAAAGTTTTAGGCAGAGCGAGGTTTAAAATAAAAAGCTATTCTCCTTAAGAAGTTCCTAGTCCTCCACACTGAAGGAGAGTGGTTTTCACATTATTTAAGAGAATTCACAAATGCTTCAGCTGACAAGACTTAAGCAGGCTTACATTCAGGCTGAGAGTTTAAGACAGTCAGGTATTCCTATTCAGCTGACTCTCGGGTTGAACAAGACACTTAAGATTGGATCTGTGCTTTTCAATATTAGCTGAAGTCAATATTTTGACTTCAAAGGCAAAGAATCACTTGTATGAAGCTCCTAAACAAGCACCCTGCAGACTGACCTAAAGGTTATTAGCTCAAGCTAATCTTGTTTCTAGCTGGAAGCTGAGTCACGCTTGGTTGGCAGAGCATGGGCAGGACAAATTTCAGTTCCTTAGATGAACACAAATCCTACAGATATGTAGGCCTCTAAGCTTACACAGAGGAATGAACCAGAGTGCCCTGGCTAATTTGGGGAGGTATATAGCATATTGTTAAAACAACTGAGATTTTTTTTCCCCCTAACTTAATCCTACCAGATTTAGAGTCCAGTCCTAAAATCTTTGGGAAACTCACACCAACTTTGGTTGTAAATGTTTGTAATCGAGTTCTTCAGCCTTAAACAGCATGTATGTCAAAGCAGCTGCAAATAACATATCCTGTTCATTTGTCCCTCAGTTTGGGGTGGGGAAAGGAAAACCCCTGAGTGAAACAAAATCCGGAACCGTTGCAGCCAGCCCCTCATTGATAGATTTCTTCCAGTTAAGCAGGATGAGACATTTCAAGTAAAGTCCAAGTATCTCCCAGCAACATAAGAAAGAATAACAAGGGAGGAAAGCTAACAGCCAGTTTCCTGTTAAGCAGAATTTCACAACAATTTCAACGTTTGGGCAGATGGTAATCTAACATAGTTTCAGGCTTACTTTTCTTTCTGTGTAACCAAGTGACATTTAACCAATTAGAATGTATTAAAGGGTTACAAAACCCAGGCTGCATTCTTGCAGCCTAATGGAGAAGATCCTAAGCACTGTACTTCAAACAGTGCCATCTAATCTGAGAATCTCAGACTCTGCATTTCCTCTTGCATTCTACAGAATGAAGTACTGTGCTGAGAAGAGATGACAACTTGAACCTGTAGCTTTGTTTTGTTACTGATCATTGTTATTATACATGCTGGAAAATGTATGGATTTCCTGAGACAACTGCATATGTAATCTTGTTCAAAATTATTGCAGCCAGTTTGCAAAAACTTGTTTTTCACAAAATGTTTATGAAATGGCTGGGCAGGCCTTTTGCCCCCATGTGTAGATAAAAATACTGAGAGATGGTGACTAGTTCATTTGGAAAAGACTCATTAAACAGGCAATATCAGAACCAAAACCAGAACCAGGAGTTCTGATTTCTAGGTCCATTTTTCGGTCAGTCAACCTACTTCTGGCTATTCAACCAGCCTTCAGGAACCCATGCAAATGGCTTTTCCAGTTCAGTTTTCATACTGTTATTTAGTCTTTTAAATATTGTAATTTCTGCCATAGTGCAGGAATAAAGCGATCCAGGGGACACAGAAAGTGTGTTTGGACCCTTTCCCCTGCATATTAACAAATCTGTGTCAAAAGCACCCTTCTGTATATATCAGCCCTGGAGGCTGGACACTTCCGAATGTAAAATAAATGCAGCACAAGTGACCGGATTAAACAAACACTTTCTAAATACAGTAATAAAATAAACACAATGAGATATTTCACTAGAAAGAGCATGAAATGCAGTAAGTACAAAACCACTAGTGATGCTGCTGGAAATATTTTAAAAACTGAGGGTTTTGGTATTTTAAAAGGAGCCAAAAGGAAAGTGACCTAGTGGCCAGTAGGTCAAATGCAACCTGAGTCGTTATTTTTTTCCTTTTTCTTGATTTGGCATCCTTTTGGGAGTCTAAATAATTAGTCTTGAGATGAGTCTTGCCAGAAGACTTAGTGAATACATGGACCAGGGAATGAAATGCGTTTTTGCTCCTGGAAGTGATTACCTGAAATACATTTGGCACTTTGAGGCTGCGAGGCACTATCTTTATGATATTTTCTGGGTACTGAGCAGAAATGGTAATCCCACCCAATAACATCACTAAGAATGTCTTTTTCTCTGATTCTTAAAAGACTTTATCACAGTGCAAGCAAGCTTTGCACCTTACCAACAGAAAAGACAGAGCTGACTGGTGTTAGCCCTTTCTTTTATGGGAGCCATTAATGACTCAGGCTTTTCCCAGACCCTCCAAGACTGTTAGTCACCTATGCTTGCCCTATTTGATAGCTTTCTGGGCTCAGAAAGTCCCTGTTTGGAAATTACTCCGTGCTTTCCCAGAAAAGTGTTGGCGATTTCTCAACTTCCTTCTGTGAGCAGCCAGCCTCAAAAAATCACCACTTGAGGGGCAGTTTCTGCCACTTGTGCTTCGATTTTCCCGCGTTCTATTCTTTTTTCCCAGTTTCTTTGAAAATGTCAAAAACCTCGGTAAGAGCTGAGTATGCACATGCTGTGGAGGAGACAGCCCTGGGCAGACCCAGAAAACTCTAAACAGCAACAGCTTGTTTTCTGGGCTGTCAGTCACAGAACAGAGCAGCCAGATCAACAGATAACACAGAGTGGAGCAGCTTCTTGTTCAGGCTTGTGCAGATATTTACCCGCCGTGGAAGAATAAATCTGAATAGTTGTTGAGCATTTGCACTTAGTCGGGAAGAGCTCTCTGATGGTTAAATGACCATGGGATTTGGGCAGGAGTGGGTGTTCAAATACTGTTTGTTGAGAGCCTTTTGGCTTGGCATACGAGGTGCTGCTGAGTGGTTTTCTATGTGCGCAGCACTGCAGTGGTTGCCTTAGTCATTTGTTTTAAGTGTTGTTCTACACATCTTCACTCTGCAAAATTCGAACCTAATTGAGACTTGCACATCTCTCATAGATTTGTCTTGACTAGAAGTTGCGGTCCTGTTTTAAAACTACTTAATTGATTGTCAGGGAACTACCATAATAATAAATGTCTGTAGACATGCCCAAAATGCCTGCTATGGGATTTATGTCAGTGGTTTACCCTATGGCCCAACCTAGCAATTAACCTGCAGACTCCAATTAAGACAAACCCACCAAGGTCTCAGGCAGAGCCTGCTGCTGGGATGTGCGAAAGGAGAAATGCTGTGGGAAGATTTTTACAACTGAAACAGGATCACCTCTCTACAAGCCACCATACAGACTGTCACAGAAGAACAAAACCCAGGGTGTCCTGGAATGTCCAAGGGCTCCTTGAGTCTTTACAGATGTTAGGATGTCTGGTCTACAGCTGTAGAAGCCAAGACTACCTGTCTGCCTGGCTACCAGCCCCATGGGGGAAGCCAGTGGGCTGGGAAATCTGGAGGTCTGGAAGAGGTGTCTCTCTCTGCAGCTCCAGGACAGCCACAGTTTTGGGGAGGATAAAGGAAAGGGTACAAGAAGGCAGAAAAAAACTACTGAAAAGTAAGCCAATAAACATGAATTCTTTGGCACTCCTCAGTGTCCTGTCTGGCCTTCTTGGCTGTGTATTTCTACAATTTTAAAAGTTAATAGCAGCAGTGCCTTCCTTCCCAAGCCTTTGAGGGTTTTTTTTCTCATGTGCACGCAATTCCTTGTGTGTGTTTAAAAGTGGGAAGGGAGGCATTTCGGGTTTGTAGGAGAAAATCCCACGGTTTCATTTCATCTGTGAGAATCTGCTTCCCATTTCATGAGCCTTCCCTGCTCTCTGCTGTGCAGTGATGCTGCTCCGGCTGGCCAGTGTGGCTACTGGAGGTTGCAGGGAGAAGAATGAGCAAGATGATTGTGCCTGCTCCCATGGAGGGTTTTGTGCAGCAGGACAAATTCAAATTGGAGTCTTATCAGTGAAGATGTGCAAAGACCAGGTCACTGGGCAAGAGGCTAAGAACAACCTGTGATGCTAAGAAAGCAAATCATTATTTCTTGCAGCAGTTCCTAAGGCACTAAATAAAGAAGTTTTATTACAGCCGAAAAATCACTTTCTCTTCTCTTCCCCTTGGTTTTTTTCTGTATATGAACATGTCCATGGGACTGTGCTCAATGACATATGACATTGTGGCTTTTGTGTCCAGTCATTGGTAGGAAGTTCTTCAGCATAACCATCTGGGAGAGTTTCTCTCCAATTTTGATAATAGAGGGAAAAGTTAACTGGGCTGCCATAAAACAAATAAAGAGAAGAGAAAAAGAACCCCCAGTGCCTTTTGTTAAGGAGGAACAGATGTACAGCCATAGCAGCCTGCCAGCTAGGTCAGGTCATATCAAATATTGTGGTTGTTTTCTTGTAGCCTGATCCTCCTTTTGAACTCTCTTTCAGCAATGAAGTTGTAAGGAATGAATTAAAGAAGCTGCCAGCCCTTCCGACGCCGGCGCTGAAGGAGCATCCTTCCCTCGCTTACTGGTAACGTATCTCTCTGCTCAGCAGCTTTGCAGTGTCTTGTGAAGGACCTGGCTCTGGCAGTAAGTGCTCCAAGAGTGGAAGTGGGATGCAGGGATTCCTGCCTTCTAGCTCTGGGTTTGCCACTGACTCACTGCATGAATTAACACAAATGGAACTACCCTGCTGGGCCTCAGTTTCCCTGTCTGCCCCATGTCTGGGTCAGAAAATTCGCTGTAAACATGCAAGTGTCCTGATGAAATCAAGAGGCCTAATGTGCCATTTACTTCCTAGCACTTTGTATCTGTGAAAGAGTTTTCCTGGCTGGAAATGTCATGTTTTGCACTGCTCTGTGTTATTTTGAGTGATTCAGTTTCATCTTGCAAATCTTCTCTGTGTGGCATAGATGAACTATAAGGGATATATTTTCTCCTTTTATATGAACTAGGTGATGTTTGGAGGTGGATGCTTGTTTGCTCTGTCTTTATTGCACTAAAAATTAAATCCAGGGTAGGAGCAGGGTCACAATTAAATTTTATATGCCCCACACATAGATTCTTTGTGCCACCCTGCATATCTGTTTTATCTGTGCAAATAGGAAAGTATTTGGGGAAAGACTGTTCATTAAAAGGGAGATGCTTTCACTTGATTTTCTGCTTGGTACTCTTTCATGTTTGCCTTTAAAGCATTGGGCTGCAAGCCTGGGGATTAGAGAGAACTCCTTTATCTGCTACTCTCTTAATTTCTCCATTTTAGTAAATCTGAGGATGTCAGGGAGGAAACAAATCAGTTTGTAGGATATGATCTCAGTTCTTCCCTTTGCCAAGAAGGTTATCCACTTCTCCTTGCATGGCTACAATACTGGAATTAGCTGTAGCTCATGCCAAGCCATAGGCCAGCTGGTCTGTGAGGTCTCACTTTCTGAGAACATCAGAGCATCAGAAGAGATTTGGAGTCCCCAGCTGAAATCAAGATCACTAACACAAAAGCTGAGGATCATCACAGTGTCCTCGTGTTTCTCTCTAAGAACCAAATCAGTCTTTGTGAAAAATTATAAGTGTAAGCTGCAGTTTCATTGAAGAAGAATGGTCTTCCTCTTTGGAGCATCTCTTTTCTTTTTCCAAAAACTAATCCACACACTCAAAGCAGTACATTTCCAGCCAGTTGGTGGCCTGGCTGACTGACAGACTGAGAGCTCAAGCTAAAAGGCATCATGAGAGGAGTGGTGGGAACAAGTAGGCAGTGACAGGGAAGGCAAATCTAACTCTTCAGCAGCAACATGACCTGAGCTCTTATTAAAGTGCCCACATAGCAAAAAGGGCTGTGTAAAATCTTCATGCTCAGAATGTATTTGCAGTTATACACAGGGTACAACACTTCTCACAGCTGTACTTAATTTGGGGGGGGCTCTTGTGACTGAGAATAAGTCACAGGTTGGGAAGATGGTGTTGCCAATGGGGCAATAAAATCAGAGGCTACAGTCCTGTGACTCCCTTGTGATTTCATGCCAGTAGCCAGGTCTCAGAGATCTCTTGTACATTAGTAGTTCATTATTTTTTAATGGTGGCTTTTTCCTAAACACCCTCTGAAACACTGAGTGCTCTCAAGAAGAGTCTGTTGGTGAATCAGACAAAAAGCCTCTAAAATACAGATCAAACTTCAGTGATCTAAGGGAGCAGATTTTTAAAACTGTATTCTCTGACATTTCTGCATCTCATGCAGGTTATCATAATGGATACAGATTTCATCCTGTCCTTTTCTGTGTGCAATCAGTTTTATGCTGCAGTACTTCAGCATTAGCACAAACAGTAACAAGTGAATCTCCCAACTCTGGAAAGAAACTTCTAAAACATTAGAGGTGGGATGGGTAACGGCTCTAGTTAGTTTAAAACAAACAAACAAAAGAACTTTGTACTATATTTTTATCAGCTGAAATGGATTAAGAGATAATAAAATGGATAATCAAACAAATACTATGATATCTTTGAAAAGATGCTATAATAGGTCTGCATGAAATGATATAACATTTCCATCACAGACCATGAAAAAGCCTCACCATTGTTCCTACCAAATGTATTAAGATCTGTGGGATGAGTCCTGGCTTCTTAGATCAGCACAGTTTGTGCCTCTGACTCCACCTTCATGGAGTCTCCTGGTTCCATACCCTTGCTTCAGGTCTTTCTCTTCACTGTATTGTCTTCCTGTTTATGGACTTCACAACAAAGTTGAAGGTTTTAATTTTTATATCATCAGGTTGCTGTTTCCAGCTTTCTGCAGGTTCAGAATAATCAGTTCCACATCTTGTTCTCAAGCATCTATTGGCATCACTGATTACTGGTGAAATAAAAAAGGGGCTTCTTGGTGGGTTTGTTTGTGTTTCTTTTTCTTCTAAATGAAAGCTGAGCTTCTGGCCTTCCCACACAATCCAGGAGTGGGGCCCCTGAATTTTGATTTCTCTTGCCCATTCACGGAAACAACAGACAGTATTTATTATTTTAGACCCAAAACTAGTCACAGAGACTGGAGATAACCTTTAGAAAATGTGTTAACTGACACTGCTCCTTTCCAGCCACTGTCGTTGAATTTTATCTCAGTTCAGATACTCCCCAGCAAACCATCCCAGTACTGGGTTGTCAGTAAGAAAGCCAGGAGGAGATGCAACTGCACAAAAATGGTTGCTAAAATGGGATTTTCAACAGATCAGGGTAAGATAGACTTCTCCCAGGTTCACAGAGATTTCAAATGTGAACTTGTTTTTAGCAACCTAAAGCACCAGTGTTGCCAGAAAACCCACCTCTGAAAATATCAGCTGAAAATCACTATTTAGTGATTTTCTGTAGTTCAACACAGACCTGAGGCTCTGGTCCTGCTCCTGGTCCCTTGGCCAAAGAGATGCTGATTGCTTCAGTGGGACAGTGTGTGACTGCAAATAAATATATTAGTAAATTCAGGAATATAATCAAAATGGACAAATCAGGTTAGAAACAGAATAACACTAAGGAACAGCAATGAGTGGACAGCTATTAAAAATAGCTCAGTGTGCTGTGAAGAGAGGGAGGGAACAATTACCTTTTAAAATCTGGATTTGATGATGAGAAACTCAGAGCCTGCATCTGCATGCAAGTTGTCTGCTGTCCAGTTCTGTAAGCTGCTGGGGCAGAAGGGATTTCTTGGCAGTTCTAAAGATCTTTATCAGAGTTGTCTGCTGTGGGATATCATCCACATTTCTGCAGCTTTGGGGGGAAAGTTTTATGAGCTGGCAAACAGACGATAGTGCTCCAGCAGACCCCTGTCTCCACATTAGTTAAACATCCTCTGCCAGCCCTGCACTGTGAATGAGTTTCTGTGTCACCAACACAGCAACAAGGCAGAGCAGGGGGAGAGGAGACGTCAGCTGGTGGTCCCAGCAGTGTCCCAGCACTCTCCCAGCTGTCAGTAGCAGCATGGCAGCTGCCTTGAATGAACAGCTGAAATGACAGGGGAGCATATTTGTAGGCCCTGCTAATGCTCCTTTTGACCCCTGAATGATGTTGCTTGTTTTCCCTGGCACATGCTGGGCTTAGCCCTCTGTCCCAGAGCAGGAGGCAGAGAGTGACTTCTGTGCTGGACGACCTTCTGTCACACAGCCGAGGTGGGATTGACCTGACTGTGAACATTTTTTCAGTGTGGATCTCACTGTCTGAGGTGGGTACCCTCAGCTCCCTTTGCTGCCAGTGGAGAGAAGCAACAGTAACGTCCTCCCAAGGAAGCCATCCAAAATAAATTGGATGAATCATGCTCTGGAGTACCTGTTTCTTTCCCCAAAGTGCGACTAGCCCAGTGCTGCAGAAAAGGGAAAGACAGCAGATCCCTCTCAATATTCTGGCTTGATTGATAATTCAGGCTTTACTTTTTTTTCTAAAAGAAAGAAGAAACAAGGATTATAGTTTTCTGGGACTTAACGTCTGTACACCTCAAAACATTATACAAAGGGAGATCATCAGTATCCTAAGAGAGCAATGGAGGCATTTGTTTAGGAGAACTGGATAGAGCCTGAACTATCCCACATTTCTAGCATGGGCTACAAACATAACTTTATTCATTCTGCTGTTCAGGAAGGCTCCCTGACATCTGATCTGTCCTTTTGAAGGAAATGGTCCATCAATTGGCTTCCCTACCCAAGGGGTATGGTCTGGGAACATGTCAATTATTTTATAATAATCATTTGTAAGAAAGCAGAGCACATCCAGAATCACACTGTAGGTACATGTATCCTTTCCTTGAATGGCAGCAATATGAGAGGTTGATCTGTGCAATAAACTGCACAAAAGTAGAAACCAAAGCTGAGCGTTTTCCACTGGAGAAACTCCGTTGTTTTCTAAGTCACTCCTGGTTCGTTCCTGTCTGAGGCAGAGGAATTGCATCCACATGTAATCATGATTTTAAGAGGTAATTTCAAAGGGCTGTAAGCCCTCTCTGTCTATCTTTTTTATTAAGAATGATGTTTTTTGGAGATCTTCCAGTACTGAACACTCATGTAATTCAGTTATTGCTCCAAAAGTAATCCCGTTTATGATAATCATGGCAGGAGACCTGGGCTCTGCCTCCATGTGCACGCCCATAACATCTGTGGTACTTGCTTGGATCAGTGCACTGAATATGGTTTCATAGCTGTAGAATTTACAGCTTACAGATCATTTTCTAAGCATCAAATTTATTCTGAGGGATTTATTGTGAGAGCTGGACGATCGCTTTACCCATGTAATTTGTCACTGTCTCAGTCAGCACCCTGTACCTGCTATGGCCTGCTGGTGGCACATTGCTTCACCTTGCCCCAAAAAGAGCCCTTTTATTTTTGCAGGATGAGTGGGGGAAGTCACTCGGTGAGTGAGTAAGGAAAGCAGTTACTCCAGACAAATGACAGGCTTGTGGGGGAACAACTGGTCCTGCCAACAATCCAACAGACTATCTCTGTTGCTCTGTGCTGCCTATGTTGGTGTTTCTGGTTCTCTCCCTTTCTCTCTGCATTACCAGGGTGCACAGTCCTCAGCTCCCCCATGCCCCTTCTTTCTGAAAGATGTTTTGGCTCTGGAGATTCTGACTCTCTTTCTAAAAGAAATTCTGTCCTCTCTGGAACAGGGATACACGTGGGGAAGGCAGCAATGAAAAGATGCAGTCGTGTTAGCTGGGCTAGTGAAACACTTTGCAATTTTCCACAAAAGTCCCCATGGGCATCTCTAAGCAGTTGGGATGAGGTCATCTACCAGACCATCCCACACCACTGTGCTCCTTCACGCTGTCTAGCAATGCAAATAGCTTCAGTTCTGGCTGGGGAAGGATTACTGCATGGTGGACAGCCTTGGTTGCTTTTAAATGCCCCATTAGGGGCTCCCACTGGACCAAGAAAATGCAGGGAGGGAGGAATGCCAGTGCACATTGCCTTGAACCACACACAGCATGATGGCATGGGACAGACACTCCATACTGCAGGAAGCTTATGTGGGGCCGGGTGGGGAGGGCACAAAGGTGGCATAGAGTTTATATTTCCCTCCTCTTGAGCTGGTAAGGTTTATGCAGTATCTCCAGGGGACTCAACAGATTCCTGTCCTCAGTGTTACAACATAAAGAGCAAGAAATTGGGTTTAGACTTGAGTACTCTGTCCTGCCAGCGTAACAGAGCTGGTCCTGTGGGCATTACATTGGATCCTTGGCTTATACTTTGCCACGCTGTGACTTTGCTAGCACAGCTGATTGTATGCATCAAATAGCTCTGGTTCTATGCTCTCCTGCTTCCCATTCACTGGAGAAGAAAGAATGAAATTCTTCAATCTGTCATTTGAGTCATGCTGATCTCTCTTGGATGCTCCATCTCCACTGTGTATCAGTACACACTCGGGACTGTTCTCTAACACAGAGGCCCACTGGTGAGGAACTGCTTCTGTGTTTCACTGTGGAACACATTCAGACATGGCTTATGTCTTCTCTAAGGCATGAAATGGTCTTAGTCTCGTTGTTGGGAATGGGGCCTGGCTCATGCCAACTCCCAGTGCACAGCCAGGAGTTGCCTGGGAGAATGCAAGCTAGTAAAACCAAAAAGTAAGCAAAGGCACATCGGTACTTTAACAGTAAAGTGACCCGAGTTTGAGTGCCTTGGAAACATCCCCTGCCACTGTTTAACCTGCTGATGTAGATGTTGCCTCTGTGTACACTAGGAATTCAACTCCCTGCTGAGAGAGATTGCTCCAGAGTACTTCCACTAGCGCTCCTGCACATGGTTTTGTGCAGTTGCAGGGAGGAGTAATCTGTGAGTCTTAGGGCTGTTACTGGCCACCAATTTCTGAACAGTTTTGCCCATCTTTCAGAGGACATGATGGGCTTGAAAAGAAGTTGCACCAGCCAGGGCATAGCAGAGCTTGAGCAGCTTTATCACCAATCTGTTTGCCCGCAATGTAATATCATGGATATTGTTTATAGATAAGGAAAGGATTGCAGAAAGAGGAAAGTCTGTACAAGTAGGTACCATGTCTGTGAGGAAAAAAGATTCTTTCAGAAAACCAACTCTTAGAAAACCATTTCTATTCTCAGTCTGTGACTCCTGCTTGTTTACCCTAGGCACTAAATCCCCTCATCTAGTGGGTTTGCTTGGCATCTTTTGATTCCCTCAGTCAGTAGCTGTGTTAACAGAAATATCTTTTCACCTTCTGGTGAGACTCTTGGTCACTATAATGCCAATATATAAAACATCCAATTCTTTCATTTCCAGTGAGGATCGAGTCATTGAACATTACAAGAAACTAAATGGTCAGACAAGAGGTCAAGCAATTGTGAAGTAAGTGAAATAAGTGTGATTTCTTTGTTACCTTTGTTTTATTAGAAAACATTTATACAGGACTGTATAAATAATATAAATAAATATAAATATAACGTAACTATGTTTTCCATCTCATGTTGCTTCATTTTTAAGTATTATGCACTTAACTATTTACTTATCAAAGCATTTTTTTTTCAGAGCATTCTCTCAGCTTCTCACACATGTTATTCTCTTCTGTGTTGTTTTGCAGTTACATGAGCATTGTAGAATCCCTCCCAACATATGGAGTGCATTATTATGCAGTAAAGGTACGTGCTACAAGAAGGGTTCACTGAGTTAAACTGTTGTTGGAGAGGGAGAGAGAGAGGTACAAACTGCCATCCTGCTTTCAGAATACAATACACTGCTACTAAAGTCTTGTTTCACTTCCTGTGGTAGGATAAACTTATTTCAACTGTGTGTGCATGTTTAGTAAATACAGCTCCAAAGAGGAAAATCCTGCTTTTGCAGATAAAACTCTTGCAGCTCTATTGTGCTGGACTGTTCAGTGCACAAGCAGTAGCAAGCTCTGGTGATGCCAATGAACCCCCACCGAACAGATGACCCAGACCCATCTCTGGCAGATATGATGCTTCACTCCTTTTTGTAGTTCCAGGAAGTCAGGCTTTTCCCAGCCAGCAGATCCATGAGCAACTAGGTAGGGCCAGACATGATCTGCACACTGCAGCTCCCCTCACATGAGATACATGGATTCCACATAGGTATTCATGAAATCCCTCATTTCTTTAGTCTAATGATTTATGACCAAAACTTCCAGTCTCAGATTATTATTATGACTTCCTTGCCTGACCAGCTGCCTTGGGGTTGTTATTTTTTTTAAGTAGAGAAATCAATAAATATATAAAGAAAGCTAGATACACACTCCCCAGAGCATATTCCCTCGTTTATCACCACTGAAGTTTTGATGTGTTTCATCATTATCTCTGTGTACAGGTCATATGGGTTTTCATGCATCTGTAATGTCTTGCACACATGAGGTACCATAAAAACACAAATATCCAAATGTACCTGTCCCCAGAGATGTTTCTAGTCTATTCCTGCTAATGCATACACAAAATAAGGTGTATTATTTTGCAAAAAGCATTAGCCTCATCCTTTCCCAGAGGATAGGATCCCTCCAGCACCCTTTGCATCCAGATCTCTTGGACTACTCTAGATCAAGAAAAATCTTCTGTATTGGGATTGTTATTCAATCCTGCAAACACTGGAGAGCTATTCCAGTGAGCTCCCTGTGATCAGTAAGCAGCAGTGAGTAGCAATGAGGCAGCAAATATTGCACATAATAGGTTTTGCTTCTGCCTGATGTGGGGGTTTTGGTTTTGCTACGTTTTACCCTGCCACTCTCTATCACATTAACAGAGCAGATGTAATTTCATTGAGGACTCCAGCTCAGTAAATTGCAGAGGCTGGGATCAGATATCAGCCATTACTCCATAAGGCCATTTTATTGCACACTCAGACACAAAGCAGTTGGGTCCAAGCCTGTCAGACCTTATCACTTGGTAGCTCTCAGATCCCATTACTGCTGCATTTTCAAGACTAATGCTAAAATCCCTCCACATAATTCAAGTCAGCTGGGTGATTCGCTTTCCTTTCTCTCCAGTCTGAGTGTTCAGACTGTATAATTTACAGGGCAGAGATAGAAGATGCACCACTACACAAAGGACTCATGTCAAACCTCCTCACCTCCCCTGACAGCATTTTGAGTAACTTGATCACATGTGATGTATTTTAAATGGTTTTATTTGTCATGGCCAAAAGTGAAACAGATCTCTCCTAAAACCATGGAGCTTAGTGACTTGAGGGAATTCAGCAAGGGGAAATTTAACAGCACCCATTCAAAGATATTGCTTAGAAATAAATATTTGTCTTGAACAACAACCTAGGAAATCTCCAACATTTCCCCATCCTATTCAACATAACTCCCTCTCTTTTCTCTTCCAGGACAAGCAGGGAATTCCATGGTGGTTAGGACTTAGCTACAAGGGGATTTTTCAATATGACTACCATGACAAAGTGAAACCAAGAAAGGTAAGTTGTTTACTTTTCTATCAATGTCTGGGCTTGCCACACATGTTATAGCTCGAGTCGAGGGTGTGATGTACACCAAATGCTGGCACTGATTCATGTGATTTTGAAGGACGTTCACTTTCTCCCAAACTTGTCTGAACGTCTGCAAAGAATTAGTGGACAAAAATAGTAGCTCTTAATTTATTAAATGTTGTGGGTTTGGGGGGAAATAAGCATCACTTAATCTTGCAACTTATGCTCCTTTTTCTGTGTGGTTCATAAAACATAATGGGAACTGAAGGACTGATCCTCTCAGATGCTGGAGACCTTCCATTCTCTGGCTATGGCAGGATTGGGGGTGCTCAGCCAGCTCTTGATACTGTACTGCCAAGCCATAAATGATCTGAGAGAGAGAGAGTATGAGAGACAAGAAAGCTGCTTCCATTTATTACAAAAAGAAAATTGCATGGTTTTCTCAGGATTAGCATTACATTTGAAAAGCAACAACTTTACTAACTGAAGAGTTAGTGTCAGACTAGGAAGTAAAGTCAACTTTCTTCACATTCCTGAAAAAAAAGGCATTAAAAAGTTTGTGTCCCCTATCTGATTTATTTAGGAACTTTACTTTGAAGCAGTTTACAAATCAAGGCATGGCACACATAGATCTGGTCACAAAAGCTAGAGCTTGGTCAGTGAGGACTAGCCATTCTGGTCTCTTTGTTAGTATTTTTAGTGGGGCATTCATTGCATTTGAAAATCAGGATTTGTCTCAGTCCTTCCAAATTGCCTGTGAAAAATCCAGCTAGTCAATGTCCTCTTGATTTGGGAGGGTTTGATTCCCCGAACTTATCCTATGAAGTGGACCCATGTGTTCTGATTTTCCTACCTAACATGTCATCTAATATGGAAAAGCTCATCCCTGAGCACAGGCCCTGCAGGTGGGCATGCACAGCCTGCTAGCAACAGTATCTGTTGTGCTGGAAACGCATGGAGACAGCAGCGGACAAGGTTTCGGGCTTCCTAGCAGGCTGCAGAACTGGATTACTTGAAGCAACTAGGCAGCTCTTCTGTGGATGCAAAAGCTTCCACAGTGAATTAATGTACTGGATTTCTCTTCACATTGTTTCTGTGCCAAGGTCCCCTCCCCTTCTTTCCCCTTTCACTGCACCAAAGTTAGATATTGCCTTAGTAGAGAATATCTTCTATTAAAATGGACTATAATCAAGGTTTTGTAGAAACCTGAACTGCTAAGGAGGCAGCAAGAGGTAACAGGTGGATCAATTAGCCTTTTATTCGCTGAAGGCTATTAGTGGAGCTTTTTATTCACTGAAGGAAAGCATGAGAGGAGGTCTTCACAGAGCGTCTGTGCTCTAAAAGACACATCTCTTTGGGATCAATCATTACCTGCAGGGCAAGCCATACTCACACATGTGATAGCTTAAAACATGCCTAGGCTAGGTGTTTGCACCTACATATCTCCAGTAGTGCCAACACCCCAGGGAAGTCATGTCCTTTAAAGATGCCTTCAGAAGTCAGTCTTAGGAATGGAAACATTTCTTTGGAGGAAAACAGTGCCCTGCCATAACAGGACTCAGCCATTCAAAAGCTATAGCAATTATTGTCAACCCTGTTGGGATGAGATGGTTGGTGAGGAGCATCAGAAGGAAGGAGAGAAGAGGTCTGGTGCTCTGACTGTAGGGGAGGACACAGACATTTGCACTAGAAGAGTCAAGCCTTCTTTCTCAGCTTTCTCCTCTTTCCTCAGCTGCTCAGAGTGATCTGGTCTGTAGCATTGGTTTTAGAGCTTGGTAACATCTTGGCCAGCCTCTCTGTGTCCCCACTAAACTACCTCCAGTGCTCACATTGTCCATCGAAGCAGGACCTTTAGGCATCTCCAATACTTTTTCTGCAAGTGTAACCCTAAAAAATAAGGTTTCCGATTTTGTCTGTATTAGGAAATATTTTTTTCTCAGAAAATTATGTATGAAATCCAGGAGACCCAAAACAATGGTGCTGCCTTATGTACAAACCACAAAGAACTTCTGTGGCTTAGCAGAAGTGGTCATAAACTTAGGAGGGAAGGTTGGGTGGGAAAGGAGAGCAGGAATTTCCGGGCTAGAATTTGTCCATTACCACAGTCCAGAGACCACAGCAGTGAAAAGACAGCCTAGATGAGCATTTCTCTTGTTATATGACGCTTGCAAACCCCATCTGTTGGCAGGGCTGTTCCAAAGTGAACAGCCTAAATCAGGGACAGGACTTGGACGGAGTGGCTGAGGCTTTGTTACTTCTCCATGGAGAGATTTTACCTGCTCTGGAGCAAGTAAAAAGACTTCTTACCCTACACAGGTGGTAAAACCCCTCTGGCAAGAGCAGCTCAACTGCCTCAGCAAGGCACAGTGTTTAATCCTCTGCTAATTAGATTGCAAAATTGCACTTGATAACCCTGGTATCTGGGAGCAGCTCACCATAGTATCTGATTCATTTCACTACAACAGCATGGGCTGGTTCAAGTCTTTGCTGTGCAAAAGGGAGGAGTAAACCTGACTGAACTTTCTGCAAGGTAAAATTAGAGGGGGAGGGGGAAAGAGATTCTGTCTTTTCTGATCTCTATTATTTTGTTCATGCACACTGTCGATGCCAGAAGCAAATTGAAAAATTACAATGGAAAAATACATCTCCCTGGAAGAAACTCAAGCAGCAAATTGTAGCAAGAAACCAGCTGAAACCAAGACATTTATATTAAATGCCTATAAAAAACTTGCTTGTCTTATAAGAGAGATTGTAACGTTTTTCTATATGTCATTCCAGATAGATTTCCATGCTTATTGTGTTTGCAAGTAAAACTGTAACCCACACTAAGCAGCTGAACCTATCTTGGGCAATCCCATTAGCAGTCACTCAAAAGCATGTTTTTAATAAATTGCTGGAGTAAATCAGCCACGTGTCTCTAGAAAACTAACCAGGTTTGTCATCAAGTTGGATGAGACTGGAGAGGAGAATTGAGGCTGATGCAGGGCCAGAACCTGATCCTGCCTGTGCTATTCTCACTCAGGCTTAAGTCCTCCAGAATCATGGGGATGCAGCTGAGATGGGTATCTAGCACCTAGTCCTAGGTGGTTCAGATGGGAATGCAGGGCTATTAAACTGGAATGCAGTTGTACCTGGGCTGCAGAGACTAATGTGTCTCCATGCTTCTATTTTTATGTTCCTTCCTGCCTATGCTTGAATTCTGCAAAAGCCCTGAAGCCACGCAAAGCCATCCCTTGGAGGCTTATCCTTTTTCTTCTGTATGTTCAGGGCTAGCTCACAGGCTCAACAAGCCCTGCCAAACACTTCCTCATGCTGCCTGTTTAAATGAGGATTTGGTTCTTATCAGTTCAGTGTTAGATATTAAATAATTACAGAAGTTTAGGTATACTTCACAAAATCCATCGCTCCAGCTGAACAAGAGGAAGGGAGTATCAAGTGTGGAAAGATGGCTGCTGTCCTGCCAACCATATACTGAGGCATTCTGGACATTTGGCAGTGGCTTTGTGGAACCAATGTCATTTGTGTGGCAGCAGTGAGCAGCATCCAGGGTGGGCAGAATCCATCTCCCTCTGTGTAAACTTAGCTTCGACAAACCCTTCCCTATTAAGAGAACAGCCTTCAGGCCCAGTGTGCCTTGAAAAAGGGAAAAAAAAAAAAAAGAACTCATTGTCCTCCTGGGCTCTGCCCATCTTGGGTCAGCACCATCCAGTATTCATGATAAACCAAAGCAAATTCTTTGGAACCAGGTCTTCAGGCAGGATGTGCCAACACCACTCTCCTACGAGATGCCGAGGCTGTGATGACCAAACCAGTGGTTTTCAGAGGAGGGTCATTAGAGGGTTTTTCTCTTGAATTGCAGAGCAATTACAAAGAGAGCACAAGGCACTGCAGCCCCCCATGTGACCATTTGTCTGTGAGTGGTGTGTGTCCATTTTAACCAGCAGGCAGGAGTGTAGCTAAACTCCATCCCCAGAGACTTGTACATGAAGGAGGAGCGGTGTAGCCTGGAGCTGTGAGGTCTGCACGCCCAAGTAGTAGCACTAGGCATATCTGTTGTTCTAGTGAGATATTCCCATTGATTTAAGAGCCCAAAGGCATTTCTTAGTGCATACAGCCTAACAGTTAGTAAACAATTAACTCCAAGCTGAAGAGTGAATGATTAACAAAGTCAGCCAAAGGACTTCCATATGGCCAATAAACAGGCAGAGAAAATGTTTAACTTATCACGAAAATAAAGTGACCTTAAAGGAGAGTCTGGGAGTGTTTAGTTGCTTTGTAAGAAATACCTCTATACAGTGTTATTCCATTTTCTTCTGTGGAAAGCTAGTGACAACAAAACCTAAGGTGAGCCTTTTTTCTCAGGCTCATAAACATTATCACCGCTCAGATTCTCTGATTGACTGAAGAGAACCCAAAGGGAATAAAGACTTTTTGGAAAAAAATGTGAGGCATCCCAAATGTCAGACATGAATGTAGCTTGACAAAAGTTTTCCCTGTGACAAACATCAGTTTCTGCCATTTCCTCCCGGCATTTCTCTGGGATGAAACGAAGCATGCTATGAAAATGCTCTGTCCCTTGCTATAAACTCTCCACAACACTCTGTGGATTCTCATTACAGAAAAATTTAATCTGTAGTTTGTAGTGTTTTTGTTGAATCCAAAGCAAAGATTGACCTCCAATTTAAACATGCAAAAACAAGAGCTGAATTGGACCCATCCTACCAAGCAATGCAAAGTAAAGTAAAGTCAGTAGCTTTAAGTGTTTGATCAAAGAGAAATCACCTGCTTGTCAAAAGCATGAGCAAAGTAATCAGCACATTAACTGTGTCCAGAAAGTGAAAGATTGCTGTCTGATGCCACTTGGCCTTTTCCAAACAAGAGACAGAGTGAACTTTCCCAATTCCAGAGGCAAAATGGGATATTTACACAGGAGGAGCAATAGCCTAATTAAGAGCTGCTTTATGGCAGAACAAATAGATCCTCTCTGC